GTGTGGGTGTGGGTGTGGGTGTGGGTGTGGGTGTGGGTGTGGGTGTGATATAAGATGAATATATACTCACACTGACACCCGCACTCTCACCCACATACACGCATCTATAAATCTGTTTAGCAGTTTAGATTATCTTCAAGTCATTTAAAAATCAAATATATCAACTAGACAAGTAGAAAAGAATCATTTATACGGGCTCTGCTTCTTTCAGCACATATTCAAGTAAAATATATTCACAAAAAAAGCGACGTTAAGCTATTTTTGTAGTCACAAGTCATAGTTAATCAGTAAAAGATATTTAGACATTTTCATATGGCAGTTTACCAATTGTCATCAAATTCTGGGAAGGAAGAGCTATTTTGATCGCATCTTTTGAGGGTAAGCATGAATGTAGTTTTAGGCGTTGGTTTAGATGTCATATGTTTACTCACACATAAAAGTAAAATCGAATATATACATTTTATTTTTCGTGGATCCATGAAAGGATGTGAGACTATTATAGTTATCCAACGAATTTATTTTTTTCACCGTCAAAAATTCTTATTTATTTAAGCAAAATTAAAGCATAGATATTTATGATTAAAAATAAACTTATCATTGACAAAAGTAATATATACAGACATGACAAGCGTAATAATTATAAATAACTAAATAGAAATGAGAATAATCTTAATTTCAAAAAAAACAAACAATTAAAGCTTTTAAGTTAATAAATGAACGACATGTTTTTGTTGAAATATTTTAAAAGAAAACTGATAAATATAATTATTGCATTGGTACAATACGAAAGCGATGTTGAATTTTTTGAAATATTTTTACAATATAAGGAACAACGAATCGAATTCCAAGAGACAAACCAGCAAATACACTCAAAAATGTTGTTAACAATTGAAGCATATCGAATCGATAATAATATGTATACATACAATAATTTGGAGAACAACTATTGTAAAATTTTTCATACGAAACATTGCTTGCCCATGATTCGATAAACATTTGATATGCCATTGTCTCGATTGTATCATTGACACTGAATCGTGTCAATGAATCGTTCAAGGCTTGGACAGGAAACGGAATTGCACCTAGTATATATCGAAAATTACTAATGCAAGTTTCAGAATAAAAACAAGATAATGATGAAAGTAATACTGTCTCCAACAAATAACAACCAAATACCATACCATCAATGATCATCGTTCCAAAAATAGTAGTGAAATTTAGTAGGGTGCGGGTGTGGATGGGTGTAGATGTAGATGCGAAGGCAAGAGAATATTCACACCTACTCACACTCATCCTTAGATAATCTTTAATATCCGTGTGCAACATTAGCAATTACATACTACAATTGCATTCTGTTTGTATCAGTGATTTTATCACACTGAAAACATGATTAGAAGTTGATTATGTTAATTGGAGATTCGTAGGCATTGATGTCCCGGCATTTCATACGAATATCAATGATTATCATCAAACAGTCAGTTCATTATTTCGATTGCTTTTCCCATTCTATCAATGATCTTACCAAAAACTCAATAAAGAGCTGCTCATATTTAGTTTACTGAATATATTATACTAAATCTTGTTTCACAAATGTTAATGTCAGGATTATCATTAGACTCGGTTTCAACTTTCAATCCACAATATCCTTTTGAACATAATGACTATTACTATGAATATCCGTATGATCCAACAAAGTAATATTATACTACTATAATTTTTCCTGCACCAGATATTTTTGACATAAAAATAAAATAAAATCTCTTTCTCTTCGTAGATATTTATGTTGATTGTAATTTAACTTAAACGTTATTGCAAAGCAATCTACGTTGTTTCTACGATAAACTCTGTTTACAACAACTGATCAATTCGCTACAACTCTCTATTAAAAATATTCATGTTTTAACAAGCAAAAAAATAAACGTTCATGACTATAAATCTTACTAGTTGTTGATAGAATAGTGAGATATCGTTGAGCGGCTTAACTCAGACTTTCATTTCCTTAAGAGTGAGAGATATTTAAAACAACTACCACAACGCGTTTCAATCCAGTCATTCATATGAACGTGTTAAAGTAATAACTTTAATCAAATTCAATGTTTAATTTGTTTGTTAAGTTATGTGAACCAGAAGTTGTTCCCAATCGCCAGAATCAAGTTAGTTAGATTTATTCCAATAATTCCGGAATACTAATATTTTTAAAATCTAGCAATCAATTTTCTCAATAACATTATTGCATTACATTTGTCAATTACATATATAACAACAAACGATATAGCTAATTGTTAAAAATTCATATATATATCTTAATTGATCACACGATCGTAGATATATTCAAATAATTGAAAAACAAACAACTAAGAAACTATTCATTAAATGATCTTTTTCTTTTCTTCTCATTCATTCATTCATTCATTAATATTTCAAGATGAAATCAATAATTCTTTCATTTAAGTTCAATTATTTCTAATGTTCATTTCTTCTTATCTACCGCCACTAAGAGTTAAAATTCTCAAAATCGTTTTTCGAATACATAAAAACTAACATAGAGGTGCAATTTTTTTATTAATCCATTTAGAACTAAAATGGCTCGTCTATCACTGGATTATCTCTAATCATTTGTAGACAATAAACACTAATCGAATAAACTTGTTAACGTGTGAGATAGAAGTGGAATTTGTTTTTGCTTCCGGCAATTCTCTGTCTATCTTAATTGACCATCGAGAGAGAGAGAGAGAGACATACTGAGCCGCGTGTATATGCACACGTATTTGATTCGGTAATCAATTATAGAAAGAAAATGTAAGACGACAAATAGATTGGCTTATAAACAAAAGAAAGAGAGAGAGAGAAAATGCTCAATAAAAGAAATGGATATATAAATAGCATGAATCGATGTTGTAATCTATTGATATTGTGATATACAAATCATGCAAGGTAATAACTCATAATAAATATTATTCATTTAAAAATAAACTAAATATGGTTTTTATCTAGCCTGTCAACATCGTCGATTTGAATGTATTCAAGTTTCATATCGTAGTATTAATAAATGTATAACAAATTTTAATCGTTCAACAACTGTTGCACATGTTATTGATGCATTACTTGATGATCTATCTGAAAAACAATATTTAACTATAAATGATTGTTGTTTATATGCTGTTCGTTCACCGTATTTATTTCCATTGAAATCAACCGAATTTATTCAAGATATTCTATTACGTTATGCATCAACTGATATTCAATTTAAATTATCATTTAAACGTAATTCATCACCATCACGTTTTGCACAACGTAAAAGACTTCTTCGAACACCACTACAACAATCAACATTAATAAATGCTCATGAACAGTTAAAAATTCAAGAATCATTAATACGAAGACAACATGAAATTATAACAAAATTACGAAAAACAAGTCTATCAAATAAACCTTCATCATCAAATTATGATAATTATTTCGATTGGGTTACTCGAAATAGTGATGATGTAGATAGTGATGACAGCAGGTTAGTTTTCTATAAAATATTTAAATGATTTTTTATTATTATTTTATTTTTTTTAGAACTTCATCAGATATAATTCCAATATGTAGACGACAATCACGTCAGGATGAATATCATAAAGCTGTTAATCGTGAAACAACAGATTCATGTCGTTCTTTATCACGCGTTCGTTTTCGTCCATCAACAATAGTAACACAAACACATGATTTACCATTGTCAACAACATCAACACAAATGAAAAGTATTTTAAAAAAAGTTTCATCAAATTATTCTGTGATTCCACGAACTTCAAGTGTTGATCGTGATATTAATCAACTGACAGCAATAACATTTAAACAACGACGAAATAGTATTTATACATCCGATGATGCTGATGATGATAATTTATCAGATAGAAGTACAACAGATTCA